TCATTAAGTGAATAATCACCTGTAGAAAAAGGTACTGAAAATGAGAACTATGTAATAAAGGATTATATATTCACAGTTATTTTCAAAGATACATGCAACCCTTAAAGAAGGGGAAAACAAGAATGTAAGCACAGTGATAAAACTATAATATCTGATTCTTCTTTACAACTTGAATAAATTGTATTATTAATTTATACAGGTAACAATATTCAACATTGTATTGAATATGGTAAAGCATTTATATATTACCCTTTTCCTGGCAGGCATGAAAGAAGACAAACTGGAGAAAATTCTTCTGTATACACACAATGTGATGAAGCCTTTGAAAATAACAGTTATCTCCAAAGTCATGAAAGAACACACACAGGAGAGAAATCATATGAATGTAACCAATGTGGTAAAGTCTTTGAATATCACAGTTATCTTCTTATTCATCAAAGAAGACATAGAGGGGAGAAAACCAACAAATGTAATCAATGTGGTAAAGCCTTTTCTCAGCCCAGTGCACTTCAAAATCATAAAAGATCACATACTGGAGAGAAACCCTATGAATGTAGTCAGTGTGGTAAAGCCTTTTCTCAGCACAGTGCACTTCAAAATCATAAAAGATCACATACTGGAGAGAAACCCTATGAATGTAATCAGTGTGGTAAAGCCTTTTCTCGTCACAGTACTCTTCAAATGCATAAAAGGACACATACTGGAGAGAAACCCTATCAATGTAATCAGTGTGGTAAAGCCGTTTCTTATCACAGTCATCTTCAAACGCATAAAAGAACACATACTGGAGAGAAACCATATGAATGTAGTCAGTGTGGTAAAGCCTTTTCTCAGCACAGTACTCTTCAATCGCATAAAAGAACACATGCTGGAGAGAAACCCTATGAATGTAGTCAGTGTGGCATAGCCTTTTCTCATCACAGTACTCTTCATAATCATAAAAGATCACATACTGGAGAGAAACCCTATGAATGTAATCAGTGTGGTAAAGCCTTTTCTCAGCACAGTACTCTTCAATCGCATAAAAGAACACATGCTGGAGAGAAACCCTATGAATGTAGTCAGTGTGGCATAGCCTTTTCTCATCACAGTACTCTTCATAATCATAAAAGATCACATACTGGAGAGAAACCCTATGAATGTAATCAGTGTGGTAAAGCCTTTTCTCAGCACAGTACTCTTCAAATGCATAAGAAGACACATAATGGATAGGTACCATGGAAAAGTAACCCGTGTGGTAAAGTCTTTTCTCACAACAGTAATCTTCAAATACATAAAATGACACATAATGGATAGGTACCATGGGAAAGTAACCCGTGTGGTGAATCTTTTTCACAGCACAGTAATTGACTGCATCAGAAATTAACTCATACTTGGTGATTATGGAAATTTCCAAGGCCAAATCTCAAAAAAATGATGGAAATGTACAAAAGAAATGATCAGGATGGAAGCTGACAAAAAATGTCTTTAAAAGATGGTTGGCTAACCAAAACCACAAGAATGAGTTTATCTCCCATATGATAATAGTCATCACTGGGACCGCACAAGTCCACATGTCAGATGTACACCTGCTTGATTTTATACCTCCTGTTAGGAGAAATTAGGAACTTTCAGGCTCGAACTCTGACTTGTCTGAATGGGCTCATATTCTGCTTCCCTGATACCTGGAAACATTCAGTTTGGAACTCTGAATGGTGGTGACTTGTTGGGAGCCATACTTGTTGGCATTAACCTTTAGGCCTAAACTTGGCACACCACATGGTTATAGAACTGTCTTTTGATTATAAATGACTCCCAGAAGCATGA